GGTAAGATAGTCTGGTATTCCCATCTCTTTAAGAATTTTCCACAGTTTGTTGTGATTTCACAGTCAAAGGCCTTAGTGTAGTCAAAGAAGCAGATGTAGATGTTTTTCTGGAATTCCCTTGCTTTCTCTATGATCCAATGAATGTTGGCAATTTGATCTCTGTTTCTTCTGCCTCTTCTAAACCCAGCTTGTATGTAAGATAAGTTCTTGGTTCATGAACTCTGAAGCCTAACTTGAAGGATTTTGAGCATTACCTTGCTAGCATGAGAAATGAGCACAATTTGAACATTTTTCAATGGTAAAATTGAAAATTTTTAAATTTAAAAATTAAATTTACTATTTAAAATTTTTTTAAAAAGGTAGTTTGAACACTGTTTGACATTTGCCTTCATGTGTTTGGAATGAAAACTAACTTTTTCCGGCCTGTGAATCATTCAGAAAAAGAATTATCAAATACATAAGTGAAAGTGTTAGTTGCTCAGTCTTGTCTGACTCTTTGTGACCCCATGGACTGTAGACTGCCAGGCTCCTTTTTCCACGGAATTCTCCAGGCAAAGATTTTGAAGTGGGCAGCCATTCCCTTCTCCAGGGATTTTCCCAACCCAGGGATAGAGTTGAGTCTCCTGTTTTGCAGGCAGTTTCTTTACCATCTGAGCCACAAGGGAAGCCCCGTTAAATACTTAAGGTAACTTTTAAAAATTAATTTGTTTTTTAATTGAAAGATAATTGCTTTATAGAATCTTGTTGCTTTCTGCCAAATATCAACAAGAATCAGCCATAGGTATACTTTTGTCCCCTCCTTCTTGAACCTCCCTTTCATCTCCCGCCCCATCCCACCTGTCTAGGTTGTTACAGAGCATAAGGTAAAATTTTAACTTAGAGGTGAGTGAATGAACTTTATTCTCCAAATAATCAGTACTGAAATTACATATAAACCATGTGAAAAAAAGATCACCACCTCTTATATTTCAATATAAATTCCAGATGGATGAAAGGCTTAAACTTTCTGAAAATCCATAAAGACATAAGATAGTGTGTGAGTGAAAACACATATACTTGGGGGTGAATGAAGGTTTTAAGAAGCCTGAAACCACAGCATGAACTCATAAACAGAGGATGAAGAGCTCAGAGGACATACAAAATGAAGGCTATCCTGCCCCTGGTGCTACAAGAGCCTCAACTCCACTGCCCATGCTCACCCTGTCCTGCTCTCTCCAGCCCAAGATGCCACAGAGACTCCAGGCTCCCCTTTCTGGGAATGTGTACAGAGGTCCCTGGTTTGTCCCAGCGGGATCACTCTGCTGAAGAGACACCTTGAGGAGGCTGATGAGAGAGTGAAAGCAGGAGTGTGAGGAATGACTTCTGAACGTGCTCACACACAGAGTGCCCTCTCTCATATCGACACTTAGGATCAGTTGTTTGTTTCTTGGCCTAATCTCCGTTTTCCCATCTTCAGATTTCCTCTTCTCTCCACCTTGTGATGTGTGTCCCCAGATCGACCTGATTGCAGCGCCCCTTGTCTGCTCACATGTCTACAAACTGGATCCACCCTGGAGTCAAGTATTGATATCCATCTCCACCTTGGTCATGGTCTCCGGGTTATTTTCAGTATTAGAAAATAACTTGAGTTTGCCACATTGGAAGACTTCTCTTCTACCAAGAGCACAGTGGAGTAAACAAACAAACAAAAAAAAAACAGCAAACTGTCCTGTGCAGCACAGCCAGGCTTTGTGGAGGAATGGATCTGTTTTTTACAGCTCTCCAGTGGCTCAGAGACAAGTTTTGTGCTGGCCCCTTTGGTGGTCTGTGTGTTTCTGGTAGTCTTTTTAGAGTTACAAAGCCAGCCTAGGGAAGGAGGTGCATTCTAGCCTCAGGTGGGGAAGCGAGACTGAAGGAAGTCATACAATAGCACTGAGGAACAGAGATGTGAAAATCAGACTGACTTGTGAAAAAGGCTTGAACCAAGATTCTGCCAGACCTAAAGTAAAATTTGAAGCAATGTCCCTTCACAAAGAGATACTGTTTACTATCAAAACAAAAACAAAACTATAAGAATAGCTTTATCATAAGCTTGTTTGGATGATGATGTATGTTAGTGCTGAACTCAGGGCTTGGCGTATACTTGCCTACAATCTTAGGCATTGTTATTTATGATTTTTATTTTTACTTTAAGGCAAAATGTACTTAATTCAGCCGTTCAACTTTGCTCTTCTCTTTTTCTATTTCAAGCTCTGGCACTCTTATGGGAGGTCAATATTCCCAGTATCAGGATGTCTCCAGCCCCGTCCTGAACATATCCACTCTCTGAAGCTTTGACCATACAGAGAATAAATGAGGCAAAAGACCATGGGCAAAGACAGGCCAAGAAGCCTGCTCTCTAGTGTACCTAAGGTACTTGCCTTCCCCTGGGAAGAAAGCCTCCTTGGAGAATTGTTGCTTAACAGTCAGATCTGGACAGGGATAAAAAGTGATCAATAGACCCAAGAATCCTCGATAAATGATGACACTTTTCACTAAATAGTAGACTGTGTCCTGATGTTTAGCACTTGGGCCTATTTTCTGGACCACAGGTCAATACTGCTCAGGCTCCCTTGTTGTTGATGTTGTTGTTATTGTCATTTGTGGTCACCCAGTCATTTTCGACTCTTTGTGGCCCTGTGGACTGCAGTAAACCAGGTCTCCCTGCCATTTACCATCTCCTGGAGTTTGCCCAAGTTCATGTTCATTGTGTTAGTGATGCTGTCCACCCATCTCATTCTCTGACACCCTCTTCTCCTGCTCTCACTCTTTCCTAGCATCAGGGACTTTTCCAATGAGTCATCTGTTCGAATCAGATGACCAAAATACTGGAGCTTCAGCTTCAGCATCAGTCCTTCCAGTGAATATTTAGGGTAGATCTCCCTTAAGATTGACTGCTTTGATCTTGCTGTCCAAGGAACTTACAGGAGTCTTCGCCAGCACCGCAGTTTGAAGGCATCAACTCTTTGGCATTTTGCCTTCTTTACAGTCCAACTCTCACAACCATACGTGACTACTGGGAAGAGCATAGCCTTGACTATATGGACCTTTGTCAGCAGAGTAATGTCTTTGCTTTTGTCTCTAGATTTGTCATCACTTTCCTGCCAAGAAGCAATTGTCTTCTGATTTTATGGCTGCAGTCACTGTCCACAGTGATTTTGGAGTCCAAGAAGAGGAAATGTATCAACTTCCACATTCCCCCTTCTATTTGGCATAATAGAAAGGGAAATCTTCTCATGGGGCCACGTGCCATGATCTTAGTCTTTTGTTTTAATATTTAGTCTTAAGCTGGCTCTTTCACTCTCCTTCAGCGTTATCAAGAGGCTCTTTAGTTCCTCTTCACTTTCTGCCACTAGAGTGGTATCATCTGCATATCTGAGGTTGTTGATATTTCTCCCACCTATCTTGATTTCAGCTTTTAACTCATTCAACCCGGCATTTCTCATGATGTGCTCAGTGTATAGGTTAAACAAACAGTGACAGAAGACAGCCCTGTCTTACTCCTTTCTCGATCTTGAACCAATCAGTTGTGCCATACAGGGTTCTAACTGTTGCTTCTTGACCCGCATATAGGTTTCTCAGGAGACGGGTAAGATGGTTCCCTTAAGGAATGTTTTTCTTAAAGTTCCTTAACATTATTAGCATGAAGTGTTATAAAGATGTGCCTCAGAAGTAGGTGCTATATTAAATATTTCCATTTATTTTTAAGTAGTAGAATTCTTGAAAAAATATAAGGAACTACCCAGTTTCCCATATTTGTGTGGTAAAGACACTTGTTCATGTATATGACAGGTATTGGGGAAATACTAGTGCAGCCTCCAGTGGGGTGAATAGACACAGAGACCCACACATATGGAAGGAAAGTTGTGACTGTGAAGTCTCTGATGATGAGGGTACCATGATGGCACATAGGCACACAGGATGGGAAGAATTTAGAGATAGGAAAACCTGAGAAGAAATCATGAAGCCTTCCTTAAAGAAAAGATTAAAAAAAGGCTCACAAGGTCAATAATGTACCTTAGTGGAAGAGTTCTTCTGAGTGGGGAGAGGAGGCAGAGGAGACTGTAACATGGACCCACAATTCCAGGCAATGAGGTGATGGTAACAGTATTTACACCAATCCACACACATTTGGTGCTCATTTGACATGATGGGTCTTGCTTGATCCCTTGTGCAAGGGTATTAATGTTCAGAAATGAGCAAGAGGAGAAAGTCAGAAGATGAAGAATGAAGTGAAGCGAAATCACTCAGTAGTGTCCAACTCTTGCGACCCCGTGGACTGTAGCCCATCAGGCTCCTCCATCCATGGGATTCTCCAGGCAAGAGTACTGGAGTGGGTTGCCATTTCCTCCTCCAGGGAATCTTCCCGATCCAGGAATCAAACCCAAGTATCCTGCATTGCAGGCAGATTCTTTACTGACTGAGCTATGAAGGAAGCCCAAGATGAAGAATGGTCCTCAGAAAAGCAAGATGTTGGTGAGGGGGAAAAGGGGATCATGTACAGCTCTTTAGAGCAAGTTCTTAACTCCAGGAAGAGAACAGATGCATTTACTTCAGAAGGAGGGCGCACGTGAGCCTCCTCTCTGCCTCCTGCCCCACTGCCCTCTCGACCTCTTGTCCTCGCTTACCCTTCCCTCCTGCCCTTCATCTCTCTCTTGCGCTCTTCCTCAGTTCTCTGTTGTTTCCTTCTCTCTCTCTCTTCACTGTTGTCTCTCCCTGCCTTTCTCCTCTTCTCTCCATTTTCCTTCACCTTTCCCTCTCCTACCCACAGTCTTCTAGATTGAGTATAGCTCCCCTAAGGTCACCTTGGAGTAAATATTTTACAGGTATTGAAATAGATCCTGAGTTGTCAATTTTTAAATGGTCCAAAGTCTTAGATCTCAGAACAGCAAAAGGTGGTAGAAATGGGCCTGCCCAGTAACAGAAGGCACAGCCTCACCGTGGACATAACTCTTTCTCTCTTGTGTTCCCTTCAGGGAAACATGGGGGCTCTGATCAACATGCAGCCCCTGTTTCTGCTCTTCCTGCTGCTGAAGCCACTGCAGTTTGTGAGGATAAATGATCCATCTTTATCAGATGAACGACGAGAAGAATTAGAAGACTATTTAGAAGACTTATATGCTACAGGGCCTACCAAACCACCTACCAAGGAAGCGTTCAAAACCCATGTCATTATTAATTCTGAAATGCCATTAACTGATCAAGACTACTGCAATCAAGAAATGAGGATGAAACGTGTTCACAATAGGCTTTATTGTGTTAAACAGCATTTCTTCCTCCAAGCATCATATAATGACATTCAAGAGATCTGTCATAACATTTTTGTGCAATGCACAAATGGGGTTAGGAAATGTCACAGGAGCCAGCAAATAATATCCGGAGTGCATTGTGCTTTAAAAAGTGGGACCATGATGCCATCTTGTGAATACACATCATCTTACAGAGAGGGATGGGTCCTTATCACTTGTCAATGGGACGATATTGTTGGAGAAATTATCCCTGTGTCTGTAATTGATATTTTGGCCGTATAAAGAATCATCCACCAGGAAAATCTCTTTCCCTCCACCCCTCTAGAAGTATATTCTCTGAGATGTTACAGCAAGAAGATAGAATCCTATCCTTACTGATCCTTACAAGTCAAACTTGAGAATGGAAATTTTTATCCCATTCACTTTCATCATTCGCTGCTTGCCCTTTTTCTCCTTACACTAGGCAAAGGAAAGGTGGGCTGGATTAAGAGATAGTGCTCTGAGAGGGATTCAAACAGGTCACAGAGTTTAGCACACTTTGAATTTTTTATGTGGGTGAATGCCTGCAGGGAAAGGCTGACCAGCACCAAGAGGAATATGAAATGTTTGCTGATAAGTGTAAGTGAAAGCCCCTCAGTCATGTCTGACTCTTTGTGACCCCATGGACTATACAGTCTGTGGAATTCTCCAGACCAGAATAGTGGAGTGGGTAGCCTTTCCCTTCTCCACGGGATCTTTCCAACCCAGGGATTGATCCCCAGGTCTCTCACATTACAGGCAGATTCTTTACCAGCTGAGCCACAACAGAAGCTCCAAAGTTGTATTCATGTGAATTTCTGGTTCAGTAGAAATAATAAAGTGCATCGATGTAGTTAGGTGTCTCTGAAATGCTTATGTGGGGTTTTTGGGTTTGCCTGACCTTCCTCTGTGACACAACTTGAAACAAAAAGAATTGAAGGGACTTTCATGGTGGTCCGGAGGCTAAGATTCTAGGCTCCCAACACAGGGACCCTGTGTTCCAGTTTTGGTGTTGGAATTAGATCCCGCATGCCGAATCCAAGAGTTTACATGCTGCAAATGTAAACATGCCGCAAGCTCCAACTAAAAATTTGAATGTCACAAAGAAGATCAAGACCTCGAAAGCTACAAGAAAAACCTGGCACATTAAGTAAATAAATAATTTGTTTTAAAGAAGAGTTGGGAACCCCCTGTGACATTGTGAAATTCACATTCATAGTTGATATATTTGTAGAATTTTCACTTGTTCTCTTCTTTCCATGCAACACAGTACTCATGGGGACAGAAAAATATAGATAAAACAAGAACCATCTCAGTATAAATACCTAATATTCAGAATAGCAAACTCCCCAAAGTACTTTTCAGCTGTCCAGTGCTGCTTTTGTGAATTACCACATCTTGGTTTCTTTTCTTTTCACTATTTATTAGATTATAGTTGATTTGCTATATAAATGTCAGTTACTTTCAGGTATACAGAAAAGTAAATCTGTTACGCTTATACATAATATCCACTCCTTTTAAGATTCGTTTTGCTTATAGGTCATTATAGAGTATTGAGTATAGTTCCCTGTGTTATACAGTAGGTCCTTATTAGTTATCTACTTTTTATAGCAATGTGTACATGCCAATCCCAATCTTCTAATTTGTCCCTCTCACATCTTTGTTTTAGCTTAGCCATCACTATTTATACAAATACAAACTTTCTGGCATAGTCACATTCATTCACCATTTCTTTTTCTCACCTTGCTGTAGCTGTGGCTTCATCTGAGAAAATTCCACTTCCGAAAGTGGCTGGAGATCCAGTATGAGAAAAGAAATTTGTCCAGTTTTGGTAACAACTTCTCCCTCCCTTTGTAAAATTCCTTGATATCCTTTGATCATTATTCCCTATAACTTACTGAAAAGGGAATAAAAAGGAGTGGGGAGAGATGGGAGGGAGAGTGCCTATCATTCTTACACATTTCACTGCAATCCAGTCTGCACATGCCCTCCATCCCCATCTCCACAGGGACATGCATGGAACATCCCCATCTCCATGTCCCATTCCCTATCCTTGTCTTTAGACTCAGAGCTAGGTCCTAATTTATCAACAAGGGCCTAGGGTTCAGTGCTGCCAGACCCCAAATCTGTGACTAAGAAATTCAAGCCTCTAGACAGCACTTTTATGTGGAAACTCATAACTTTTTATTGTAATTTCTGAGTGAATGAAGATTCCATCAAACATTTGAGGTCACCATGATACCTTCCAAAACCACCTTTCTAGACATCAGTTGAAGAAATTCTCCACATAGGCTAGCTTGGGTATGTGCCCTGGACCATCTCATTTGCGTCATGTTCATCTCAAGTATCTTGGGGTTCTACAACATACAATAAATATATTTATTTTTAATGTAATCATCATAATGTATTTCTTTTTCTCCAGGTAAATTTTCAGATCATTACACATTCTGTAATTAAAGCCATGGAAATAGAACAATGATTATTTACACAGATTGTTCCTCTTACTGAATATTGCATAAAAATCTAGATCTTGACTCCTACCCACTAGATTCCCTAAGATAATACAGTTTGTGAGGATATTTGATGAATGTTTATCAGATGAATACATTTACTTTCTGCTGTGTCTTTGTACTAAACTTTTGAATAAAAGAGGAATGAATGTGGATTGCTTCATTACATATTCACCTTCTTTATTAATAATATTCCAGCTTTATGCATCTTAAGATTGCAAAAGATTATTGTACTGTGCCCGTAGCACAGTCTCCTCTCAATAAAACAAAACTACTAAGGTGAATATACAATTTATTACAATTTATTGTTACAAATAAATTTGTTACAATTTATTCTTTTTGTTAGTGTCCCTTGAGATGACGCATACTAATTTTACTTAAATGTGGTGAAATTATTTATCCTTTTGTGATGGTTTATTTTCCTTAGCATAATGACTTCAGCTTTCATCCACATTATAGCATATATTTGAATTTACTTCCTTTTGAGGGCTAAATAATATTTGATTAAACGTACATAACACATGTTGTTTATTCTTCCATTTACTGATGAACACGTCCACCATTTGCCTATTGTAAATAGTGCTGCTTTGAACAGAGATGTACAAATGTCTGTTCCAGTTCTTGGTTTCAACTCTTGTGGGTATATACCAAGAAGTGAAATTTTTAGATTTTTATCTGTTTGAAATGTGAGAGTCAAACAATACTATGTTCAATATACTGATAATTTATAACAGAATGAGAAACTGTAATGATGCCAATCAAAATACACACACACAGAAAGAAACTGAACTTTCTGTTTTAGTAACACAAATTTCAGATAATTTTACTTTTTAAATTATGTAAAATAGCTTGGACGTGAAAGTCACTCAGTCGTGTCCAATTCTTTGTGACCCCATGGACTATACAGTCCATGGAATTCTCCAGGCCAGAATAGTGGAGTGGGTAGTCTTTCCCTTCTCCAGGGGATCTTCCCAACCCAGGAATCATACTCAGGTCTCCCACACTGCAGGTAGATTCTTTACCAGCTGAGCCACAAGGGAAACCCAAAATAGGTTGAATGTACGTATGTGAAGGTCGCTCAGTTGTGTCTGACTCTCTGCGACTCCATGGACTGTACAGTCCATGGAATTTTCCAGGCCAGAATACTGGAGTGGGTAGCCTTTCCCTTCTCCAGGAGATCTTCCCAACCCAGGTATAGAACCCAGCTCCCCTGCATTGCAGGTGGATTCTTTACCAGTTGAGCCACCAGGAAAGCCAAATAGTTTGGAGGAACCTAAAATAACAACCAAGGTAAATTTTGCTGCCACCCTTGAGAGTTGAAATTTTGATGCAGAAATGTTGAATTTAGAAAAAAATTCATACTTTTCTTGCATCTGAGTTTGAGAAGCACTTTCACACTGCACATATTTTAAAATTAAATGCAATTTACTTTAAACCAGATGTAACTAGGTTTGTAAAAATTCTTTTTGGTGTCTTTTGCCATAGGAATTATTATTATTATGTGATTTGTTTGAGGTAAAGTTTTCTGTGCACTTGTGTATATGGGTATGTAATTCAGTGTCTGTGTGTAAGCAGGGCTTTCAATCATTTTCTTAATGCCTGTGCACCTCTTTTGCATAATAAAGACATTCTTGGTAGTTTCCTGGTAGTCTAGTGGCTAGGATTCCATGCTTTCACTGCCATGTTCTGGGTTTAATCCCCAGTTGGAAAACTGAGATCCTGTCTGATGGGCAGCATGGCCAAAAGAAAAGAAATGAAAAACATACCTTACTCAATCTTAAGTATGAAAAAAATATGCTACTGTATTTGTATCAACATACTTAATGTTTTCTAAATATTACTTTGATCTCAAGTCCAACATACATTGGGGAGAGAGAGAGAGTGTTTGTGTATGGGCTACATGGAATGAACACTGGAACCTATGTTGCTGTTTTTACTGATATGCAGCCAATTGTTTCACTAGATTTATCTTTCTCTTCCCAAGAAAATCTATGGGATAATCTATCCCACCATATTCCATACTTCTATTTTTCTACTAATCCTAATCTGTCAGAAGGACAAGATAATGAAATCAGTCAAACCAGTGGCCATGCCTTGGATATCTTAGTCATTTCCTTCTAAACTCACACTGAAGGACATTTCAGGTGCTCCAGGCTTTTGGCTCAGACAGTAAAGAGTCTGCCTGCAATGCAGGAGACTCAGGTTGGGTCCCTGGGTCCAGAAGATCCCCTGGAGAAGGAAATGGCAACCCGCTCCAAAATTCTTGCCTGGAAAATCCCGTGGATGGAGGAGCCGGGTAGGCCACAGTCCATAGGGTCACAAAGAGTTGGAGACGACTCAGTGACTTCACTTTCATTTCCAGTGGTTAAAACTCAGCACTTCCACTCCAGGGGGCACTGGTTCAATCCCCGATCAGGGATCTAAGATCCCGCCTGTGCCTGGCATGTCCAAAACTAAATGAATAAATACTTACATTGTCATCTGATCTGTAAAAATCCTTTAAACTAAATAAATTCACATTTACATTACATGAAAATATAGTAAATATCAATACAGCAAATCTGTAAACCTTTTTGCAAAGTCATACAAAAAAGGCTAAACAGGGTATGAACAAATATAAATTTGCAGAAAGCTACAACCGAGAGTTCTGTCATCTGAGACCTAGCTTTGACTCCATTATTGCAACATAAGATGTTAAAATTACTCTACATTTGTGCTCTGAAGGTTGATTTTCAATTACTGAGAAACTCTTAC